ATCCCTTTTAGACCAATTAAAACAAAAAATTTGCACAATATGTTCAAATATGCACCTATGGCGTCAAAATTATAATAAAAACCATTTGACTTGAAAATCCAGGGAATACACTCTTTTTTTTTTGGCTTTGTGATTGTCAAATTTATCATACTGTCATTTGTTACACTAACATCATTGATCAGGGCAGAAAAGATGTTGAGAAAAAAACATTTAAAAAAAAATCAACTTGGATCTTGAAGCCTCGTTGAAAAGAAATCTTTGATGACAAAAAGGAGTTGTATACGGTACGATATTTATTTTATTTATGGATATTTTTATTCTTATTATGGGTGTTTTTATCACTTTCGTGATACTGAAGAAAAGTTATAAAAATAATTAATACAAGAATGATAAAAACACTAACAACAATGATAGAAATACCTATAAAAGTGATAATTTTTTTTTGTACCGGAAAAAAGTTATAAAAATAATTTTCACAATAATGGTAAAAATATTTATAATAGTGATAAAAACACTCATAAAAGTGATAAATTATCCACAAAATAATTTTTTTAATTATAAAATGACCCACAAAAATTATAAAAAAAATACATACTAAAATAATAAATTTTTAAAAATTTATACTCATTTTTCTTCTTTCGATGCCGTAATCAAATTCAAAAAAGCAACATTGATTCTAATCCATCTAGATATTTAGTACATAATTTGAGAGTATTCATAATAATTTTCGTTCTCTAAAACTGTGTTTAATACGGTAGAAAGAAGGATGGATGAAAAATAGAGGAGAAATAAACGTTTTCACTTGTTTGGTATGGAAAATGGGAAGGAAACCTAATCACATGTGCCCGCTGTTTTTCTATCCTTCCGGTTTGGGCAGAAAGTGGAAGAGAAGATAGAGATCTTGATCAAGTTTAAGCTAAATTATTATTATGCCCTCTTGTCCATTCGTATTGTGCACAGTAATCTATGCCTATGTCAGCCAGTTGAAACTCACCACTCTTTTTTAATGGTATGGTTATAGAATTTAAATATTATTTTTAGTTTTGTGTCTTCATTTTTTATCTAGGAAAATGTATCAATGTGTAAATTCTTTTTATATTCTTATTTTTTATTAATGCTATTTCGTCATTTTTTAATTAATAGTTTGAATTTTAGATATTTTTTTTATATGCTTTTCCAAATTAATTGGATTGATTTGTAATGAAAAATTCACTTAATATATTTAAGGATAGAATTATAAATTGGACATATATGTTTTTCCTTTCTTTTTATTTTTCATCTAATACCAAACAATAAAAAATATATCCCTCTTATTTTTCATCTCTCTTACCAAACAAAAAAGAAGAAAATAATTTTCTTTCCTTTAGGGATGAAAAACTTATTATTTTTACTTTTTCTTCCTTTCTTCCGTTTTTCCATTTTTCGCACCAAACGATCCATAATATAGACCACATCTTTGGTACAACTTGGTACAATAGTATCTAGATTAAAAAATTTTATGAATTTCGGATTGAAATGTCGATCTAGTATGGCAAGTATATGGGTTGACTTAATCCAAAAAATAAATATAAAAATGACCAAGTCTGTCAAGGTGATTCAAATGGAAAGGTTTTAAAATTATAATGCCAGAGACCGAAGGCTTATTTCTTGCAAGATGAGCTTCAACTTTGTTTGATACACGTGGTTTATAGATGATTAAGTGTATGTATAATTTACATTGTAATCGTAATTTTAAAAGATACATGATTGATATAATTCTCCATTAAAAAGAGAAAGTAGTAAATCATCTCTTATTCGTAAGGGTGTTAATCGAGACAAGTTACTCGGGGTTGGTTCAAATAGAACTTGGCTCGAGCTCGACTTGTATTTTAAATGAGTTGAGTTTGAAAAAATTTTTTAGACACGTTTAGAAAACAAGTTTAAAAAGTTTGGCTCGAACTCGAAAAACTTAGTTCGTTTATATGTAAAATAGTCGAGTTACTCATATTCGACTTGACTCATTTTATAAATAAGTCGAGCTTAAATAATTTTTTAAATTCATTTAAAAGTACAAGTTTGATAGACTCAGACTTAAGCTTGCAAAGATCAGCTCGATTAACACCCTACATATTTGCAAGAATTTAGAAATAGTTGAAATTAAGTGGGCATAATTGTAATAGTATATGTATATGTATACACTAACAATGATGCGAAATGCAACCATGTGCATGGGACACACAACTGATCATTTTAAAATGGTGTTAGCATCATTTGATACAATAAGCCAATGGCCTACCAAATATTGTTCACATGTTCTTGTCCACACCAAAATTGTCGGTCCTCCCCACATAAACTCTTTGTCCCTTATTAATTAGATTAATTACCACTATTATATTAATTACATAAAATGGGTATGTCTTCAAGCATTCATGATCAATATTCCCTATTGAGTGTTATGCATTTAAATTTCTCGTATAAAGGGATAACGTTGCGTATTTACGATCTTCCTAAGACCGAGCAAGGCTATAAAACTCAAAAATTACAATTTAAATGCATATCATCCTTTAAATGAATGGGTCCTATTAATTTTTTCAGTGGAACCCACTTATCCCACACTTATCTAAAAATGATATGTATTCAAATATTAAATTTTGAGTTTTATTTGGGTTATGTAATATTTTCCTTAAAAAAAACTCATATACTTGGGGCGTATTTGGCTTGATTTTCAAAAACTATTTTTTGTTCTCAAAACTTTAAAAACAAGGAGATGCTGTTTGTTTAATTTTTTGTTCTCCAATTTTTTAAAATTTTGAGAAATGAGATGTAATTTGAGAGAATAATAAAATGATGTTCCATTGTTTTTTAAGGCAAAATGAAAATAGGGAAAACAATCTATATCCAAATTAATGAGGTCTCCCCTTTGAGTTTCATTGGAGACAAAAAAGACAAATTGTCTCCACCGCCTCCACCACCTCATTGAGCTGCCTCCACCGCGCACAAAAGAGAGAGAACACAAATCTGAAAATATACACAAATCTGAGTAGCCTCCACCGCCTCTATTTCTCTCCTTCACAACTTCTTCTTCTTCGCTCACTTTGTGTTTTGGGTGACTCTGGGTTCGGTGGTTATTTTTTGGGTGGTTTTGGGTTCGATGGTTGTGGGTGGTTCGATGGTGGTCTTGTGTGGTGGTTATGGGTTTTTGGGTGGTGAAACATAGATAGACAGAGAGGTGGAAATATTGGGTGGTGGTCTTGGTGATGGGTGGTGGGTGATTCTCGACGTGGGTTGGTGGTGGTTGTGGGTGTTGGGTTGATGATGGTTCTCAGTTGTGGGTGTTGGGTGATACACAGTGAAAGAGAAAGAGAGACAGAGAGTTGAAGAGATGTGAAAATTATGGATTATTGTCCAAATAAATTTTATAATTTTTATTTTTTAAAACTATTTTCAAAAATATATAACTAAACATGATTTGTGATCTAAGAATTTTTATAAACACTTTCTTAAAACTCTTTTAAAAAATAACTTTTAGATACTATTTTTTAAAATACTAACCAAACTGACCCTTGGTTTTCCCTTATCAATTGTTTTCAGGTTGTCTAATCCTCGGCGTGTTTGGTTGGTAATAATGAAGCATGATAATGAAAAAACCATTACTTAGTAATACTCATTCTAATGTTTGATATGTAGTAATAAAAATACATTCTCATTTTCATTTGCCAGGAAATGCTTAATCCTGCCGGTATAAGATTTATCATTTCTGAATATTTGGTAGTATTTATCATTTTCAACTACCATCACACGTCGCCACCACTATTATTGATTTACTACCACCACCCCACCTTCACTCGATATTAGGTCCAGTGTTGGAATCAGGGGTCCGATCGGGAATTAGTCTGCTCCGGGCCTAGGGATTATCTAAATATGTAAGTAAATTTTTAATTCTATTACAACACATAATCTTAATTGTTACCGAACATTGGAATGATAATATACATTCTATTTCATTCTTGTCTTCATTTCATTCATTCTCATGTAAAAATATTATCTCATACCAAATTCAACGTTTACAAGATGCAAAGGGTGGTGATAGTAGAGTCAGACTAAAATATATACCTAGTTTAGTCTTTATTGAACCGAGTGAGATTCAAACCTAAGACGCTTAAGTAAAGTATACGACATGACAAAGTTAATTCCACACTACTAAACCACTCGTGCCCATTGAACCTACTAGTTTTAATATCATGTGCCGAGTAACTACTCTTTAAGATTCAAATCTATGAATTCGTTGTTGTTAGTCCAATATTTTCCCTGTAAGGTTTGACAGCTTACAGGTTACTGTCTCATTGTTTGTTGAATTTGTTTACTTTTTCGTTAAAAATTTAATGCCTTTATTTACTTATTTTGGGCTTTAATTGCATCCTGGTAGTAGAGGAGTGACATTAATATTAAATACTATTACCCACTTTATAACTTTTATTCTCATGCTATGCCCACTAACTAGACCAAACGGGCTAACCCAAATCCAACCCAATGACCCACGACAGAATTCAAAATAGTAAAAAAAAATGTCAAAATTGACAAAAAAAAAAATAAAAATAAAAAGAACAGATAAAATAGTCTCATTAAACCAATTCTATGGACAATCTGTTAAAAGCCCATTAAAACTAACTCAACCATCCAATGACTCATCAGCCCAGCCAGCGGACCATAATAGACCCGGCCCGTCTCCAACCCTCCTTAATTTTAGTGCCAACAGTTGAGTTTGCATTTGCATTCAGGTATTGTTAAAGACCCTTTTTTTGTGTGGGAGGGTGGTTTTTTTTTTTTTTTTTTTTTTTTGGGGAGGGGGGGGGGGGGGGTTGATAAATAAGCCTGACTTATTACATCCTCAAAAATAATACGTGGAATGTTTCACCAGTATGACAATGATTCTTAGGAAATATATAAACATTCCGGGGGAAGATTTAAAAAATATATACAGGCTCATCATAACTAATAATATGAGAGAGCAAGACAACATACTAGACGTGGAAAGGCTTCCGAGGCGTTGGTGCTCGGTTCTCCAGGGACTGCAATCTTTGTTTTAGATGGAAAACTTCGACCTGCATGTTCAGCAATGCATCGCCTAGATGAATAAACCCAGAACGATTTTTAAAAAAAGAATCGGTGACAAGCAAATCATGCCATGGACATCTGTACATAAGATGTGCAAGACCAACCATGACTGCAGATCTCACCTCAGATGCAAACCAAGACAAATGGAGAATGAAATTCTGTTTTGATTTCTATTAAGGAGATTGAAGGTAAGCACAAATTTATAAGTCAGATGGTTGGCATGCAAGTGTTGTGGCTGGCTTTATCATCACTTCAGAAGGTTGGTTGGTTGTCCAACGCTATGCCAATTTTTCTTTTGGCTCATCAAATTATGATAGATGTTGCAGAAAAAATTCTATTGTTAATGAACAATAAATATAAGTAAAAACTGGTTAGGCTTTGAATACTTTGATACTTTGCATACAATGGACAAACAAGATGAGGACGCATGCCAGCCTGAAGTAGATCACCTGGTCAGAATAGTCCAAGTATTGAACCAAGTAATGAAGAATCAACTTATCAAAGCTTAAGGACGATGAAGTAAAGCAGCTACATTAGAGCAAGACCAAATGAGCTCTTTAATTATCAGTCCTAACAACAGCTATCTAATGGTTTATTGTTTTGGGCTCTGAGGCATACCTGTAATTGGAATGCTCTTGCCCTTTCCCCAGCAAGGACTCCTCTAGTTGAATGCAGCTCCTACAAGATATCTCAGTTAACACAAGTAGTGGAACGTAAAGCCAATAGATTCACACTGACAAGCCAGTAAGCTTAGCTAATAGTAAAGAGATGATCAAACAGGATGACCGAATAAAACTTTAATCTGCATAATACCTTCTGGGTGTCATCCATAACCGCCTTAAGGAAAGCCACATCATGCTCAAGCCTTACATTGTCAGAATGGACAATATTTGATAGGCTGTTGGCCTCTTCCTGTGCTAATTCTACTCCCGCTAGCTTCTCTCTCAGCAACTCCATCTCCTTCACAGTATCTGCCAACTTTTTCTCCATCTCCTGTCTACTCTTAAGAGCAGAAGATAAATTCTTCTCTGCTGCTTCACGGCTAGCCAATGCAGCTGCCAACTGCCCTTCCAAGATTCCATTCTTTGTTATTAGCCCAGCCAATCTCATTTCATAAAATTGGTAGACACTTGAAGGAGCCGATGGTACTCCTGATTTACCATCACTTTGTTGAAGTACTACACCATCATTACTATCTTCTGTAAAGTTTCCATTTTCTTGTTTGTTATCCAAGTTCAAGTTTTCGGATTCATGTACACAGGACATCTCCTCTGCATGAATTTTACCCCCATTAATCGTAGTCTGAATGCCCACATCAAGTTGTTTGGTTCTCTGCTCCATTACCTGTAAAGCCAAGGAAGTTGCATAATAAAGTCATGCTTTTGATACCATGTTACAGTATGTTTTCTCTTGATGCTTGCAAAATGGTCAACCACTTGACGACAGAAAAGGCTGACACTAGTAACAAAAAATAAAAATTGCATCTTCTATTAGACCCAGGTTTCAAACTAGGAGAAATCCTTGGTCAGTAGCATGGAAACAAACAAGGCAGCACAATGAAGCCAGCAAGAAACAGTAAAATTTGCAGAAATGATCTTCAAAGTTCAAAAGGAGACCAATCCAAAATGAACTCAGAAACATACTGGCTTTTGGAAACAGAATGAACTATGAAATTTAGTCACAATAGTCAATAGACGGGAACTTTGTAGTTCACCTGATAGGAACTTTCATATTCTGAACTCTTTGGCATCTTCACAGCTGCGCTATCTTCCTCATTGTAAAATGGTTTACAGAGTGAGAAATTACCAGAAACAGGATGTGGATCGACAAGTAAGGACTCTGACAAAGATTTCCTACCAGACCCATGTTGTTCAATTGCAGATGCTAGATTTTGTCTTGCAACAGAGTCAAATGAACCATTCAGATTACTGTTACTTTGTAGAGTAGCTGACCCAATGGATGATGACCGATTCTCAGACAGCAAAGTTCCTGGACCTCTATTCAGTGTGGACAGCCGACCCATAGATGACTCATTCTTTTCCATGATCAGTACTTCCACCTGTAACAAAGCATGAAAGCAAAGTTTATTACATTAACCATACACCATTATGAAATAATTAAGATTTAATTTCTATTTTGAACCTGATTCGATGGATCCTTTTTGGTCCCACCAAATGCAACAAGGAAATCCCTTTCCTTGTGCTGCACCAATACAAGGCTAAATCCCTGAAGAAAAACACTCCTCCAGTAAATGTGCCAATATAGTACATATTAATACACGTTAAACAAAATCAACAAATTGAAACAGATTTTGTATTGACTAAGAAAAATTTCAAAATTTTGTTACAGAGAAATGATGTAGGAGTGTTGTATAAAATCTGCATGAGAAATGGTGGCTTGGGTAAAAAAGCAACACAAATCAATTCCAATTCTACAAACCTGATTGCCAGAATCAACAATAACAGCAGGACCGTTAGTGACCCAACTTTGAAGGGCGACCAAGAAACTTAGAAACATTGGTGCACATGTACAATCTACAGGTCAATTAAGATCCAGGCAGCCTAAATATGTGCTCCCCCATATTTAGTTGCAGTATCCAACCAAATCTCAGATCTAAACATTTTCCTACCCAATGTGAAAATCATCAAGGTTCTGCACAGCTTAGTGTTGATTTCAGCTGTCAATGTCAAGTTCAAGAGTAAAACATAGTCATACTGATTTGTGAAGACATTGCCCTATTGGTGCCAATAGAAACTAAAGCATTGACATTAAAAGGACAGCATTACTTACACCCTTATCGGGTATAGCAGAACAGAAATTTAGACAAATTTGACAAGACAAGCCACATCAAATTAAACAAGTTTGTAATCCATACGTAGATGCAGAGTCCAACACCCCCCCCCCCCCCTCCAAAACAAAAAAAAAAAAAAACCACAGTTGGAATTGAGAAATTGCATAGATTTTTTGCAACAGAAAATGTATTGTTATATCAGACAGGAAGCTAACACTATAATATCAGATGAAATTTTACTATGAAGTACCACAACAGTTGTAAGAATAATTAATCCTTAGTACATGCCAGCATCGAGCAAACAATTATGGGTGTTAGAAAGAATGCTGCTTTTAGAAGTAAAAGTGAAACCTGTTAGTACAGTGACAAAATGTATGCCCACTGTACCACAAATAGATGAGGTTTTGTAGTTCATCCTTGTGAAGACTTGGAATCAAAAAACATAAATCTGATACCTGAAAGACCAACAGTACAAAAAATGAAGTAATGAAAACAATCAACAAATTGCACCTTATTGGTGGCGATAGAAGATGGTGGAGACGCAACAGCAACAGACCATTCAAGTTTTAAAACATCGAATACCAAAGTCTCTGCATATCCTGAAGAGGAAAGATATATAAAAAGGGTTAAGAAGTTGGAGTCAGTCTGCAAGAGCAAAGAAAAATGTGCACCGAAGATTCCAGTGATAAGCTTAAGCACAATTAGAAAACCTATAAACATTTGTCCTCACTTAGCCAACTAATCAAAATGCAAGGTGGATAACATTGATATGTGCCTAACTTCGGGCACTGGAGAAGCACACCTGGTTCAAATTGTTAGATCTGTGTCCTGCATGGATAGAATAACCTTCCAAACTAGTACATGAACCTTGTGGGCCTCTCCATGCGTAGCCAAACTATTGATTTTTTAATATGTGAAAAGAGAAAAGAATATAGACAATTTGTACCAAACATAATTTTGAATATTTGAACAACAATTCATTGCCAAAAGTTTGTGGGGGGATTAGGATTCAGGAAAACCCATGATACAAATATGACTCTAATGGCTAAACTAGGATGGCAATTAACCCCACAATCCCTCAAACTTTGGTCCTCCCAGCTCTCAAGCAAGTATTGCTCAAGACATTCTTTCCCACATGTGCCAAAACAACCTTCAGACTCACCCATATGGAAACAAATCCTTGAATGCAGACCACTCATTGAACAAGGGGCGTGCTATATAGTGGGTTCTGGGCACAAAATAAACATTTGGACTGACCCTTGGATTCCTAACATCCCCTCCTTCAAACCCCAAATGATGCATGAAATTGATCCACCCCCGACACTGGTTGAAGAGCTTATTGATCAACAATCCAGAACTTGGAAGAGAAACATCCTGTCATCCTGCTTTGATGAACAGCCGACCCAAGCAATCCTCAAGATAAAGCTACCTACTTTCCACACTGAAGACAAAATGGCCTGGATTCCCTCTAATTCAGGATTGTTCACAACAAAATCAGCCTACATCTCACACAGAGCAAATCTGGATAAAACTAGTCATTACCTCAACACCCCTGATTGGATCAAATTGTGGAAATCCCCCTTATTGGAATTTGGAGAACCGTGACAGAGAGCCTACCCAAAAAAACCACCCTATCCAAAAGATTTCCAGTTCAAGACAATTTATGCCCATTCTGTCATCAAACATCAGAATCTGAGGTACATTTGTTCTTCCAATGCCACCTAGCCAAGACAATATGGTTCCATAAATGGGGATTTCGCACAGAAGCATTCTCTCACCTCATGTTCCAAGAGTGGGTCCACAATCTCCTTAACCCTGGACCAATTCTCAACTCATGCAAACTTTCTGAGGATCAATTCTTTCTCTTTGCTGGAGTTGTGATTGTTACAATTTGGAAATGGAGAAACAAAATCATCTTTGGGACCAAAACACCTCAGCATACTTTGATAATGCAGGAGATTAACCATCTCTTTGATGAATTTGTGGCACAATCAAAGAATTCCAAACCTGCTAGTACTCATCAACTACCACCAGCGCACCAAGGAATGCGCACATGGATCCCACCAAATGAAGGAGAAATAAAAATCAATGTTGACGCAGCTATTGGGAAAGGTAAAGCTTGCTTGGCAGCAATTGCAAGAGATGAGAGAGGTCAAGTAATTCAATCACTGATCACACAAGAAGAACATAATGACGACCCACTAGTTGCAGAATCCTTGGCTGCAAGAAGAGCAGCTTTCTGGGCACTCTCAAAAAATTGGAACTATGTCATCATTGAGGGGCATTCACAGCCTGTCACACATGCAGCCATGCTCCCCCACATCAATCCACACTGGTCCATCATATCCATAATACAAGGTATCAAACACCTTCTACAACAGCACATAGACCGGAGTATGATTCATGCATTCAGACAAGTAAACAAAGCTACACACGAACTGGCGCAATGGGGGCTGAGGAATAACTATCAGGGAACCCTTAATGTTGAAAACCTCCCCCCCTTGGTTATGAGGCAAATAGCCATTGATATGGACAGTTGTCATGGCTCACAGCAGCGGGTAGAAGAAGGATTAACAGTAGGAGTAGAAAATGTCAATATAGATGTTTAATTTTATTGCACTCTCTCCTTGTACGTCATCATTTCTCAACAAAAAAAAAGTTTTATTAGATCGTTTCTCAGTCCAGAGGTCAACCAAGCAACCATAGGCATGAGTAGATGTAGTTCAGCATTCAATTGGATCCAAAAGAAACAATTAAAATATAGAATGATTGGTGAGACACCAGTGACCTGGAGAATAAAGCTTCTTGAATAAAATTTTTTTCTCTTACTTCCCAAAAAGGTGACTGCCTCCTAGGAGTTACCTTGGATACTCCTTATTAAGCCCTATTATTTTAGTCTCTCTACCCCTCGACTTCTCCTTTTCCGTTTCTCTTTCTTTTTTGTATACTGTAGTAAGGGTAATTCAGTTGGAAAGCCTACAAATCAAGGGAGAGGAGGACTTTGTCACTCGGTGTCTACCCTTTTCAACAACCCGCTAAGTTCAGATTATAATTTTCATAACCTCTCTCTCTGTATGTCTGTCTCTCTCTCTCTCTCTCTCTCTCTCTCTCTCCCCATATTTGCAAAGAACAAAATTATTAAGTAAAATTGAAACTTTCAAGAAATTTAAGAATTATCTTATTATCATTGGGTATCATTTGCACAAATGTGCTACAATTCGTGGTTTAACCTGATCCATTGCCTAAACTACACCTCATAATGCATCGAAACATCATTCCCATAGACAATTTTGACTGAATAAACAAGAGCTGTGCGAGCAAAGATGAGAAATTCAATGGTGTAGAAATCAACGTTGGGTCTATGTAATTTTTTCAATGTGGGATAGCTCTCTTCATACCCTTCCCTCATGTGTGACCCAGACTCACACACAGGCTAACAGAGAGTCTTGGCTCACTAACTACGCAAGGCTTTAGCTCTAATATCATGTTAGAGCATCCAACCTAAAATCAATTAGCAATGAGTGGAGTGACCCCTCAATCAAGCATGTAAACCAACCTTGGGTCTACTTAATTTTTCCAATGCGAGATAGCTCTCTCCACAAAAGGCATGAAAACGCAACATCTCATAGTCTCAGCTGACCGTATTATATTACATATAAAAAGACAACAACAAAGGATTAAGTATGCAAGAAGAGATATTTAACAACTAAATAGTTTCATTCAACCAAACATGTAAAGTGTTATTGAAAACTCTCAAATTGAATGATTACAGAGCAACAGGTGTTCAAACACGTGCTGCTCATTGAGAGTCGCATCATGAGATTAAGAGATGATAAAAGTTTGAGCATATAAGCTACTGAGACTTACGTTTTTTCCTGCTACCACCCCCAGCGATATACCATTTAGTTCCACACAGGACTCCACAACAACCAGCTCTAGGTGATGGATGGAAACCTCGTATCTTAATTCTTGACCATATCATCTGAATAAAAAAATTCATATTTAAGCATCATGATGTGGTTTTAATGTAGCATTGACTTGGAAAAGGTCTTGTGAAGGATCATTACACACCGTCTCAAAGTCAAGAGAGAACAAATCGTTCAAAGTCTTTGACTTTGAAGTTCCTCCAAAAATAAGCAGCATTTTATCATCATAAAGAGCTGCCACATGATTAGATCTTGCAGATGGTCCTGGTCCTCTTTAAGCACATGTAAACCAGTTAAGAGCTTATATGACATTAAATATAACTAAGAAAGAAGATCTGAAAAACATTTGCCGACGGGGTAACAAGTGCCGACCAGGAGTGCCAGAAAAACTAATAGCAAGAAACTTAATAGAGTATGCTGGGAGCCACTTACGTGCAATGAAGAGGGAGCCACGTCAAAGACTTGAGATCAAACATATATAGATCATTTAATTTCTTCCTCTTAGTATCTTCACCTCCAAATAAGATCAAAACGGAGCTTGCTCTAACTACACTATGCCCATTGCGAGCCACCTGCACCACACCTTAGCTTTGGTTAGACCCTCATGTCTCTGCTAGCTTTGGTTAGTACCTCATGTCTCTGTTTGTAAATCTCCGTTACATGATAGATGCCATGGATATGACTGTTGAATATAAAAACAAAAAAGAGAGACCATATTTTTTTACAAGAGAAAGCAAAGGATTGGTGTACTTTTCTTAATAGCCTTGATTACAAATTCGTTTATGGGTAGCAAAAACATCTACCGCCATGTTTTTTAGAATCTGAAAACTTTTCTAAGAACTAGTGCCAGAGAAACAACTAGATAACTAAAATACCACATGCTACTAATCAGTATTAGCATGGTTGATGATGTTAAACAAATACATAACACTGAGGATCTACAGATACAAGAAGCATATGAAAAGGAATTATGATGTGCAAGCAGCAGGGGCGGCCCAAATGTAAGGCCAATAAAGCCTGGGCTTTAGGCCCCTCCTTTAAGCAATGCCCCATAATTTGTGTTTATGTAGTATAAGCCCAAACCAAAAAGTTAAATTCATAACAAAGAAAGGTCATAACATCAAAGAAGCCCCTTTAGATTGAGTAGTTAAGGTCTATTACTCCAGCACATGACATCTAAAAGATACACATTAAAATAAAATCTTTAAAAAATAAGAAGAAGAGAGTAATGGTAAAAATTATCGATTGAAAGGTCAACTCAACACTTTTCAACCATTCATTCTCTCTCCCTCCGGTGAAAAGTCTAAACTTCCTTCTCACACTCTCTCCGGTAAAAAGTCCAAAACATCACAGAAGCTTCTCCCTCTCATTGTCTACCCCCCCCCTTCCTCTTTCTTCATCTCTCTGGCAACACGTAACAGGCCTTCCCTCCTTGTCATATCTCTCTCTCTTTATGCCAAAGATGGTTATTTTACAAACCACGAATAAAACATATTAAAGGAAACTTTACACATGGAATAAAAGATTCCAATTGAAATACTAGATTATATAAAACAATTAGATTTTTTATTCCAAATGAAGGCATTGTTTACATAATATTGTTAACAATTCCTGTAACAGTTGCTTCTGTAGAAAGAAGTTTTTCAAAATAAAAAATTGATAAAATATTACCTGCAATTAATAATATCACAAAAGTGGTAAAGTGGATCAATGATACTATCAACCAGAAAAGATATTGCAAAAAAAGTAAAATGTAAAAACTTAATTCGTACTTTTGCATTTCAAATGTTAAAAAAAAATAATAATATCAAAAATAAAAGGCTTCTTTTATAGTTGCCACCTTAGGCCTCAAAAGGTCTCTGGCCGCCCCTGCCTTCAACCACTTTGAATACAGCAAAAAATTACACAACCTTCCTGATCCTAGCCTATTAGCCCCTTAGAATAAGCTAAACCCATCAACAAATGGTAAAAGGCTAATGGAAAGCTTCATTGGGAAAAAAAGGGAAGAAACAGGAGAACCACCATATCTCAACACACAGTTCTCCGTATTATATTTCATAAGCACGAGGACAATGGATGGTCACTATTTAAATATTTGGGGAGGCAAAAATATTACCGGAATGTCTCCCTTTGCTTCGATGAGTGACCAGCACTCTGTTTCTGTGTCAAACGCCCATACTACAAAAGCAAAATTCAGAAAAAGTCCACATCATGCAATAAAGCATACAGATCACAGAGGCAATTAAGACATTGTGAATAAACAAAACACAAACTTGAAACTCTGTCACTCGTTGGGTCAGTTTTCCCTCCAATCAGGAGCACTTTCTTTCCCCAAGAAACCTAGGAAGCACGAAAAACAAAGATGAGTTACAGCAGAGGAACAACTTGAAAGATTTTGGACACGTTACAGGTAGAAAACTATCATTGTTCAGTCACTCCATTTAATTGAATTTCATGATACAGTTACATGCAACATACTCGACTCAGCAAAGATTATTGAGAAAAGTATATGTAGTGAGATAAGCAGACAGGTAATATGTACTTGCACCTGTTCTTTTTATGATGACAAAGGGCTCAGCCTCCTCCTAGGTGAGACTCTTTTATTCTCATTTGTCTCATCCTATTTATTGTTTTTGTGAGACATGGTATTGAAGCCTGAGTATTATCTGGATGAACTAAGGTATTCCTTTGGCATTGGTGGCTCTATCAAGAGAAGGTATTTCCCTCAAAGAAGAAGTATGTGAAACAGATCTTTTTGCTGAAACAGGGACATTAGGCTGTCGACATGTTGACAGTAAAAGGAATTTCTGGGTAAGGATTTAGTATTTTGACCACTAGACTATTTTCAAAAGTTGGCTTTTATAATGTTTTCAAGATTGGAGGTGATATGGATAGAAAGTCTATGTCTAGGTTTTGCACCTCCGTAGATGGCAATTTGATTACTTAGAGGAAAAAGAAATTGACAATATGGTGGCACAATTTAGTGTGGCGGCATGATACAGGGTAATCACCCATGCAGAACGTGATGTGGATAAGTGTGTGCACATTAGGAACGTGTGCATTAAAAGGAAAGTACAATAGAAAACTGTAGAAGCTGTGGCTAACAGTTACAATAGTAATTTACTTTTTATGGTAACAAGTTCTAATTGAAGGGCCAGAATCTAGCACATAGACCAACACTACCTTGTTGGTCTATTAATTCATGGTTCTGTTGTTTTTAAGTTCATAGCATCACCAAAAATAAAAGTTTTTCCAACACCTTAGTTGGGCATAACAAATACCTAATCTCACGTTATTTATAGCACTCTTTTATGCAACAGTACAACTTCAGTGCAAGCCATTAACGCGAAACAAACACAATATGAAATATGAATATTAAGTAGCACAAGCATACCAGACTATGACCCTTGCATGCAGGGATTTTTAGTGGCAGACTAGTCGGTGAAAGGTAAAGCTTTGATGAAGCTGTGGTCCAGGAAAATCTGTCAAAGTTAAGCACCTGAGAGGAAAAATGAAGAAATTACAGCAACTTCTGCATTAAAATGACGCACGTTAAACCATACTGCACAAATTAATTAGATTAGTGAGATAAGCTTATTTTACAAGTTATTTCCCAATATTTACCTAGAAGACATTTTCAAGAAGCAGATACTGTAAGGACTAACTTCCCACAGAATATGAATTACATTTGAAAAAGTAAGAATCCAATTACCTGCACATCTTCTAACAATCCATTTCCAGATTCACCACCTACGACCACCATCCTGTTCCCAATTACAGCTGCTGCATGCTATTCAAGGAAAAACTGAAGTTCAATTTCTAGCGAAAATTATAGTGGTAGTAATTACGACAATGCACTACGTATAGCAAATTTAGTGCCGACGACTACAAATGTTTTTACATTGAATCGAGGTGTGGGCTTGTCCCCACAAGTTGACAGCACCATCCAGTTCTCAGAGTGCCCTGAAGTGCAGTTGCTAAGCTCAGGTGCCGTTGACAAACACTGGAAGCTGGGTTCATCAGAATCGTTGATGGCAGGTGTAACACTTTCACCCTATAATTGATGAACAGCTTAATGCTCACAATTGATGATCCAAAACCAGATAATGATAAGTTGAAATCCTTACAATGGGATTGCTCATGCGTTTAGGATGTCTGAGAGGACTTCTGGTTCCTTGAGTAGAGTCTGGAAGCTGAACTTTCAATCTACAGAAGACAACATATAATAGGATCAATGCTAAGTTCTAGAACTGCATATAATGAATAGTTTAGAAAGGCAGACTAAACATCAGACAAGGGGCATAAGACAAAAGATTACAAACTACTAGATGTTCTTAACTTGAAAGAACTATGAGCAACAAGAATTAAAGGGAAACCAAACAGGGAAAAAAGGCAAAAATATAAGCAGCAAACTGCTTTAAAGCAATAAAATGAGCATGAATTTGATACATAGAGGCGGGCATGATGAAAAGACGAATCTCATAAAAGACAGGCTAGCATATATCTGCAACAACTCAATCCCATTTCTAAACTTAGTAACTTATTTTTTGTTTCCAATTTTTTTAGAGTGAATTACTCTAACACTGTGAAAATACATTTCGCCCATGACCTTTCAAAAATTACAAGAAGCCCTAGAGAATTGTGGTCAAGTATTAAAATCATCTGGATGCCATTGAGATTCGAATGCCAGATCTATCTTCTTTGTCTCTCTCGGCCCACCACTTAGTCAACATGGCCAAACACCGCTCCACTCGCACACCACCATAACACCCGTCACGACTCCCATATCTGCCATCACCACAATGGCACCCCCAACACTACCCAAACACACAAACCTCAAATCCATCTCACTACTACCACCTTCCATAAACTCGAGCCCACCAAAACTCTCAACCGCAACCACCAGTACACCCACTCTCATGGAATAGTATTATGTTTGACCACCATGTCATCTAACACAACGAATCTTTTAGAGAGGTTAGACAAAGAATCATAACACAAGTAAACCCTCCAACAGTGAGGTTATAATTGCCACAGGCACTGCCTAGTTTTCACATTCAATGTTTCTTCTCACAACCACCTCCACCACCCACCTCTCACTGACAGAAGTCCCATTTTCATGTCCAATACAAACACAGAGGTGCATCTTATAGTATACAATTCGGTAAACGGAATTGGGGGACGAATGGGACAAATGGAGCAATTTTTTTTCTCAATTCCAATTCCAAGACCTGAAATCCATGCTGCCAAACACAACATAGAGTCAATATCAAAAGAGTCCCTGCAATTCTAGACAACCCATCAGTCCCATCCAACAACTAGAATGAAAAAAATCAACAGCATTTCAAACAACCACATCACATTTCTTATTGATAACATCATGTTAAACACACACACACGCACACACGAAAGCTTGCCCGAAATTTTGCAAAGAAGAGCAATTGCATCATCAAAAAAAGAAAAAATGGCATTAAGTTCAACTGTCCAAAGAAGTTCAGGCCATTGTTAACCACATTTTCACCAAGATTGAACAATTTGCTATATCTTTAAGACTGTTTGTACAATGTGTACACATATAGAACTCACCTTCCGAGCTTCATTCTTCTCCGAGAAAACCCAAACATATCTGTTTTACGAAAACTTGCACAGCAAATACAGAACCAAACCTTCACACAACTCACAAAAACAAAAATTATCATCGCAAATCCCTTACACTACATTGTAACTAAAAAAAAAAAACAACAAAGGAACATATACAGTATAAATGTAGCTATTTACACTAATAACTAGCCGTGAGTACCTCTGAAGAAGAAGAAGAAAAGTATGAAGCAACAATCACAGTTAGGGTTTCACAATGCAGATTGGAGAAGACACTGAAACCACAAACTGTTGAGCTTGAAAGCGACACACTATCGCCCCAAAGTCGATTAGGTTTTTTGGATTTTTATATGTATACATACATACACAGATGTGTATATCTGTGGTTATAGATACAGACAATTGATGTATATATCTATATTTGTGTAAGTTCGATTGCGATTTGAGTCGAGTGTTACCGAGTGTGGTGTCCTTTCTTGCCCTGTGTGTGTTGTGTAACAGAGGTGCGTACGTTAGCATTTTTGGTTTGTCCGGTTTGTTTTATTGGTTTCATTGCACAAACACTTGCTATTTTTTTGCTGAATTGCATTCAAACCCCATACAATAATATTATTTAGATCTAATTTTAACATAGTTTGCTTAGGCCTGTCAATTGAGTCAGGTAAGACAGGTTCGTCTCGGATTTTAACAGGTTAATATAAAAAATATATTTAACTCATACCTAAGTTTATTTATTAATTTGTATCTAACAAGTTGTATCATATTGTGTTTGTGTCGTGTATCAATTGTGTATAATCGATTTATAAATGAGTAATATCGTGTATTTTTTTTATTAGTTTCACTCATACCCGATTCGTTTATTAATCATATCGTATCAATTTTCACTCGTTTATGAAACATGTGGCTTAAAGAATACTCAAATTCTTTAACTTTTTATCGTATTAATAAGTTATATCATATTTTGACATCCTTAATCGTGACCATTGAATTAGTAGTTTATCCTAACAAGTAGTAGGAGACATTGTCAATTCAATGGTTATGTATAATTAGATCAATACATTAGATTCTATTACCACAAAAAAATTTTGTATAAAAAAAGCTATGATCTTGTAAATATCATGTGAAAGTTAAAAAAAATTAAACAACGAGTAATGTTATTGAAATTTAAAAAATTGATACAATTTATTGACTTAATAATGTATTAAGTTATAAAGTCTCAATAAAAAAAAGTCTAAAAGTTACAATTATAATAATATTATTAGCTCATGTTACTGTCACATTATTAAATTAAAAAAATAAGTCAATTTTTTAAGATTCAGTAATATTACTCAAAATAAAATGATATATGTATAGTTGAAAACTTATCTATTTTTCTCTTTCCATAAAAGTTAGAAGCTAAAACTAATTAAAAAAAATAAAAGGATAGTTAAATATAATGTCAACTTTATTCTTTGTTACACCATATAATCAAATATTTTATTGCAATATCGAACTTTTTAATGAGTAAATAATCAATACAATCAGTGATATCACATCATCAATAACATGTGAGATCATCATATAATAACATTGTTTGCATGTGAATGAAGTATAACTATTTATACAAGTGAATCATTAGAGATAGTTTTAATGGTTGAACCTAACAATTGATAACTTAGAGGTCTCATCTTCAACAGTTGTTATATCCACTAAGAGTCAATCAACATTTTTTCTCAAGGAATACGTTCTAAACCCGTTTAGATTACGATGGTCAGTATTTAAACTAGAGAGAATAGTTAGCGCAAGCTATACTTGTGATATATCTCATATGCTTAGAAGATCATTTTGCTCACTTAAATCAACTAAAATAGAAGAACATTGGAGGTGAATCTTTAATTCGGTAAATGTCAAAGGGTGTCTATGTAGTTTGATAGAAGTTCTGGGGATGTCGTGAAAGCGCATGTTAGAAACAGTGAAAAGATGACCGTTGGTGATGCTACTATGTCTCGTTTGGGTGACTCGAGGTGGGCTAAGAAGACATTTATTGCGTGCGGTAATTGGTCATGGTGGGGCCCCACATACTCCCCTTGGGATTTGTGGATGGGGATTCGTATCTCTATCTCCTTACGTGTCCGTAGGAGATAAATTATTGGATAAATTACACTCACACTCTCTAATATTTAGCTTTGTTATACAGACATCCCCTCACGTTTCAAAATTACGCTAAGACCCCAAATTCGGTCAAATAATAGATGTCGCTAACAAAAGTTAAAAAATGACAACCATATTCTCAGTTCTGAGGTGAAAATTAATTAAACCCTATAATTTTATCACCAAATTCAATCTTATCACTTAAACTAATTATGTTAATTTATTTTGAATTAACAACAATCTTTATCAAATTTTAATAATTATACCAAATTTACCTTACTAAAATTATGCCTTAACACAACTACCACCATTTCCCACCAGCGTCTACTGCCCGTAATCACCCTTCATTATTACCTCACCATCACTCCCATCATACCAATTTCACTATTCCAGCTCTTGTAATTGCCACCCCCGCTACTCCCACCATCATAACCATCCCACCATCATAACCATCATTGTCAAATCCCAAATTGAACTTACCTCCTTCAAGGTACAAGCAACACATAAAAAAATCGATAACCCACCTCAATCAGCCATTCCTTTTAGCCATTGGCATCGCACTAGAGGGATGAGAGAGTAAAATTTTTCAGACCTAAGATCGATTTTCCATAAAGTCTGATTTTTCAATTTTTGAGATCTGTTTATTGATCTGGGTTCTTTAGATTTTTCAGATTTGAGTTTTCATGTTCCCAAAGAGAGAGAAAGAGAATTTGAAATTTTTAAATCTAAATCTGAGCCACCACTTCCTACCACCAAACTTCCATTACCCACACCCTTTTCACCATCCATTAGCCATGTCACCAACCTTAGGTGGAGGAGGGGGTGCAATGAGGTGGACGGTGACAAAGGAGCAATGACATAGGAGAGTTGGTGGGGTTAGTGGTTGGGTGCAGTATGATGGTCCTATGTGCTGGAAGAGAGAGGGGAACAACCGGCTAGGGTTAGGTTTGGTTTGTGTGGGGGTAGTGAAAGGGATGGATGAAGAAGATGGTTAGGGTTAGAGTTAGGTTTTTAAGTGGTCTAGATATATGTTTGGATTTTTTTTAATTTATTTATTTTGACTTAATCAAGTAGTAGGGGCGGGTTGGATAGATTGAATATGAGCATTAGTTAATCTGAATGATATGCAAGGATAAAAAAGTATTTTTAATGAAATTGTTAATGTTAATTAGACAAAAGGGGTGCGGTGCGGCTATCACACATGTTTAAATATCAAGGGGTCTTAGTATAATATTTGAAACCTAAAAGGATGTTTGTATAATAAAACTAAATATCAAGAGGGTAAATATAATTTACCCTAAATAATTGAATACAATTTGTATGTGTTTGGGCCGATTCTAGCCCAACAACCAATTCCTACAGACATAAGGCCCAGATAGTCCTCATACTTTCATGTAAGGCTGTCGTTCGTTCTTGATCTGTTCAGATTTGAATTCAATAAAAAGGTCGAATATTGAATTCGATCAGTTTGTCAGACGACTTTCAAAATGTTAATATCAGATGAATTCACATCCGCTAATATTCGGATAGTCGATTCGATCTAAAATTTTGAATTTAATAAAATTTTATAAAAATTAATAATTTTATTAAATTTAAGTTAATTTTCAACCAAAATAATTTATGTTTAATTTCATGTCAAACTTATTAATGTACTAGTCATAACCTGACACGATAAAATATAAATTCGATCGTTCAAAAAATCGATCCTATTATATTAATTTTTTTAAAAAATATATTAATTACAAATTAATTAAATATTCAATAATTAAATATATGATAGAAATGAGTTATGCGATATTTTTAGGAAAGCAATATATAAATGATTAAATATGTGATAGAAATGAGTGATACGATTTGACATTTGAGTTTAAGGGATGATGGGTGAGGTAAGTGATTGATGACGGTTTTGAGGGAAAACATATGACTGAGATAAAATTCAAACACACTTCTGTTTTATTATATAGATATATCAGATTGATTTTTTACCAGATCGAATTTACGTGTATTCAAATCTAAATATGTTTAAAGAAAACAAATTGAATTCAGATAACCAATTAAAATATTAATTTATATCCAATTAAATTGACTCAAATTCAGATCGAATTTGAATTAAAATTTGCTCTACTAAGAGACCTACTTTCATGACATAATTGATCAATCGGGTCACTTTTTGTCTTCATTATAATTTATATTGTTTTTTTCCCTTATTTTTCCATCTACCGTTGTGACTAAAATTAGAAGGGCAAGATTTGCAAAAATGCCTTTACGCTCTCTATGTGAAAATATTTTTAGAATTGAAGAAAGTGTATCATCTACAAATGTGTTTGCAAAAAAAAAAAAAATGTCTATCATAAAAAATGGCTTTTGTAAACACGCTTTAACTTTGAGAACATAGTTTGAACTATGCTTTTATGTAATAACAGTGAACTATAAAAATATTTAAAATATCGATAAAGTGAGAACAAGGGTAAAAAAAAGAGCTTTGTATGCCTCACCAAATGATCATAAGCTTTTATCTAAAATATTTTTATTCAATTTCTTCAACGATGTATTATTAATCATGTATTGGTGAAGATTCACTCGTAAATTCCATCTAAATTCATAGAAGTTAAAAAATGACATATCATTAAGAAAAAACGTACTTTGAGGAGATTCGATAGTTCGAATTCCCTCTCCTCTCCTTACAACATACTTCCACCTTCTTTTTCCTTTATTTTTCTCTTTTTCATTGATTGTCTATCCTTATTGGGGGTCACATGTGGTGCTTATGCAAAAGGCAAGCTACAATGTTTGACTAGGTTTTGCTTTTTTGTTCTCCCTCTCTCCTCCAAAAATAAGTTCAAAAGAATCAATTTTTCCTTATGGGTGATTAAGAACAGCTCAAACCCTCAAATTTTAGTGAAGCGATAGTGTTATTCAAATTGATATGGTTAATACAGTATAAACTCGGAATGGACACAATTATCCACAAGTCATATGCAATGCTTTAGTAATTAGAATTTTTTTTTTGTATGTAAACTGAAGATCTCAAGATAATAAATCATACAATCTTCCTATCTCAACTACTAATAATTCCCATATACTGATGGCACACACTATGCCCCGCCATTTCCTTCTCACATGGTGGCTCTGTCCTAAAGAGTCATGCGTCTTTAGACATATTAAACTGCAAGTCTCTTTACATGCGAATATTGGAGGTACTAGATATCATAATTTAGGGCAAACTTTAGAGTAATGACCACTAGCACTTAACCCAGCTGAGCTAGATCACATGTTCAACCATTGATAAGTCTATGGGTACATGATTATGGTCTTTGATTTGATTTGTTTATACTTAATGATTGTAAAAATGATAAAGTAGTGTGAAAAACTAAAATAAGCAAACTTTATACATGTTTCGATTTTATTGCATAAAATTTAGAGGTATGATACCGAAAAATTGATTGTTCCATTCAACCCTATGAACTCCTTTCAAAAAGTCACATAGTGCAAATCATTGCAGATCCAAGTCGCATGTTGCGCGTTCAGCTTTTGTATGAAGCTTATAATTTACAATAATTCTATTTTGACTTATTATGTTGACGTAATTTATTGATCTAATTCATTATAATCATTGAATTGGTTACAAGTTTTAAGAAATATTGGGACTCTCAGCAAATACAATCCAAGTATTATTGTTCTATCATTTATAATCGATGTCCAGCATCAACGTTGCTAAAAAAGAAAATTCAGATTCTCTTCCTACATACCTTTTATTATTGATATATTTTTTGTTTTTCGACCTTCTTGTTCTTCATTTTTTATCCAGAAACTTGAAAAAGAATTCAAATTATCAATTTGTTCTTGTTTGTAATTAACTTTCTTAATAATTATGAATTGTCTAAATGAAAATTTCAACCAAAAATGTGTAAGCAATAATACTTCCAAGCACATCGTAGGACTTAGAAATAGGAATGCAAAGAGAATGATATATGATTATCCAGTTATAAATGCATCAACTAGAACCCTAAAAATCTTGCAAAACACACACACACACACATATATACAGACGCATCCAGAATATGAGATTGCAGATTATAACAGTGTTTGAAAGAGATAAACGCATGTAGGCCATATAATTTAGAGTGACGAGCGTAATTAACATTTTTTTGGGTAAGTAATGTAATTAACATTTTACTAACATAGAAAGTGGAAAACATAATGAAAGAATTCGAATTATCATTTTGTTTTTATTTGAGATTAACTTTCTCAATAATTTGAATTGTCTAAATGAAATTTCAACCAGAAAAGTGTAAGCAATAATACTTCCGAGCATATTGCTAGCACTCGATAGGAATGTCAAGAGAATGATATATGATTCTACAGTTTCATACATGCATAAGACCGCAGATTCTAATGGGGTGTGAAAGAGAAAAGACGCATGTAGGCTTTATAGTTTAGAGAGACGAGCGTAATTAATATTTTTTCTCGATAAGTAATGTATTTAACATTTTACTATAACAATGATACTTGAGAAACTAACAATATTCCAAATATTATAAGCTGAACTTTATTAGCAAAACATAGGGAGATTACATTACATAAAGGTTATAACTCATTACATAGCACTATTATATCAAACTGCTGTAAATATGTATGCTAACTAATCCGACATTTAGTATCACATTATGCATCGAAAATGCGTTATTATTAGCGTCGGATTATCAAGCTCATATCGTCAAACCCACAAAGCTCCCGCCTGTTTAAGCATTGGTTTTAGTGACCGTTTGAGGTGAAGACTCATCACCTCATTAGCTCCACCCACCAGCTTACCACCGATGAAGACTGCAGGCACGGTTGGGTTACAACCGAACCGGACAAGAGCCTGCTCGATGTCCCGACTGCCTCGGACTTCATCGAGCTCGTGCACAGTTGGATTAACACCAAAGTCAGAGAATAGGGACTTGATGGTGTGGCACATGCAGCAAGAGCTCTTGCTGAAGATCACCACCGGTCGTTCCGACACCATTCTCGATACCCTCTCCATTTTGCCAAGAAATGTGATCTTTTCAAGTATCTCTCCTCGAAAAAACTGCAGAGGTATAGAATGGAAGTAGTTGGGAAAGAGGTATATAGAAGTGGGAGTAGTAGAGAAATGCGAGCTAGCTCTGGGACTGTTGGGATGCTTTGATTTGTTGTGAGGAATACCGTAACCCATGGAGACATTTATACAGGCTCTTGGGGTGGGGCTGGGGGGGGGGGGGGGGGGGAGGGGGTATTGTGCAGTTTTTGAGTAGGAAAAAACATTGAAATTGAAGGAATATAGAGAATATGTGTGTGCTGTAAGATAGTTTTGTTTGGTTCCAAACTTACCCTTTGATCATTTTGGTGATAGTGACCAATGTTATTGCACTATGTAATAAAAGGTGCAGGAAAACGAATCTCTACATATAGCAATAGAGAGGTGCCTATGAGGGAGGCCTTCACACTGAATGATAACAATAACCATTTGTTTTCCTTTTAATCTAAGCCTTCGTAATTGTGCTTTTTCTGTCAATCTCATAATTACCTTTTGGGTGGTCATGTGTCCATGACCAGACTCATTGCCCTACTTTTCATTTGGTTGGTTCAGAATAGTTCAAGTGACAATAAAAATAAGTTGTAAATTTAGATGTAGTAAGAGATTTATCCTTCATGAATATCTTAATTTCGGCGTAAACGACTTATTTTTGATCGGACTGAAGAGGGGATTAGTCGAGATACTCATAAGCTCATTCGGACACCCTGATTATTGAACTAAAAAAAAAAAGAGTTGTTTCAAAAAAAAATTCCCTTGCTTAAATAGGGTGACACACTTATTTTGAACATTAGACAAGGTGTGCAACAGAAGAGATGATCCTTGAATTAAAGTAGCTAAATCAACTGTAATCCACTCACATTTTTTATTTTCTATTTCAACATATTCGGGATTTTTAGATATCCAAATACTTGATTCTCTCGGACGTGTATGTTCGTGAAGGATCTTGCACAATATAAACACAAGAACAGATTTCTTCCGTGGTGAACACGTGTCCGTCAATCAGGAGGTCGATCTTACTACTTGGAACAGGTTGTGAGGGTCGAGGGTGGCCCAAGGTGGATAATGAATCGTTTTTATGAGTCACCTGAATGATCTTGAAAGGCTAAATGAGGTTCCTAAAACAAAGAAAAACAGGTTAGAAGGGTGTCGAAGTGTTTTTCGACGTTATCCCCTCCGACGATCAAGTCAATTCTTTGAGAGATGGGAAGAAGAAAACACTGTATGATGGTTGAGAGAAGGTTTGTTGCGTACCTCTTTTCTGTGTTTGTGAGGACTATTTATACCTTAAAAACTTATCATTGCTGACAGCGTAGCTAGTAGGTAATCATTGGAGATGGGCAGTGTGCATACCAATTTGTATGAGTAATGTTCTTATTCTTAATTGCTCGGGACCCCGAGCAACTAATGCTCTCTCCTCGGTCTGCTGATCGTTTAATGATCTTCTCTCGGCAGGGGTGCATTAAATGCCCTGGTATTAGAAACATTTATTGTCTTTCACTTCCAGGATCTTACGCATTAAATGCTGTCTCATCGAGTGAATGATGCATTAAATACCTGACCTCCCAAGCCGTGTGTCAACAAGGGCATTCAGGTTTTTTTGTCTCTGATCCGACACAATATGCCACGTGTCCATCCCCCTTTAGTTGAACTTTCTACTTTCTTGTGCCTCCTGACATCATTTGAGTAAGACGAGGTCATGATGACTAGTCTAGCCTAGTCTAGGCTAGTGATCTGTCTATCAATAGCCCCTGCAGGAGCAGAAATGTCCATACAAATAGATACACCTCGGTGTCGAGGGACTAGCATGAATTAGAACCGATATACCCAAACTGCCGAGGAATACGTGTCAGTCCAAGGTGGTTTAGGGATCCTTGATCCCTGTGAACAGCATCATCGGGGCAGGGGGTTGGAAATCGACGAAGACGTGTCAATATCACAGCGAGAGTCTTTATTGACGCCGAGTATACGTGTCATCATCTGAAAGTGTCTGAAAATGTCCCATCAGTGTACAATGTTTTCGTCCCTTTGTACCAAACAATTACTCAAATGAATTCTTAGGACAGTCTAAGAAGAAATTCGATCTCAAAACTTTTAACTTTTCGAAACTTAACTAGAAGCACCGGCTAATCACCCTAACTCGTGCTAAACATATCTAGAACGGGTCGGGTTTAAGGCTATTATGTTAGTTATATTTAGTTGTGGTCCATATTGTTATCTAAGAACTTTCTGATGTATCTTTCCAGGGGGCATCTGCTGAGTAAGGAAATAAGTTGGATTTATCCAATTGGGACCTTTTTTTTTCCCAAAACCAGATTCGCATCCAATTCATGAAAGGGAGCTGAAAGGCAAAAGAAGAGAATGTGGATCAAATTTTGTTTAAATTGATAGCACATGGGAATACTATTCAAGATCATGATGTACTTATATTCTGTTTGGTTCTAGAGAAAATGAAATTTTGCAGAAGACAATTGTCATTGTACAACCTTAGTGAAAAGGGTGATCCGTATTGATTGTGGGTGATACAACATGTATAGTGAACGATTACATTACAAATAAAATCATTGGAAACAATGCACAACGCTGATCGTGGCATTGATACAAAGACATATTTTAACTATGAAACACTCAAGACTCCATCCAAAAAATTTTTGACGAGTTCTACAAAATATGAGTTTCTCCTAGTCATTTTTTCACTTACTAAATTTTTTATGTACTTTTCTATTTTATACCCTTGTTAGGGTAATTTCATTATTTCGGATTGCTAGGTTTTTTTTTGTAAAATCCATTTAGCAGCTTTGATGATTTTAAGTAAACGCAAAGATGTCTTCTCTTGCATTTTGACAATTTTGGTATTTTTAAGAATCAACAAAGTCACTAAATAATTATGACCGGGTATTATCTGTGCTAATCAACGTTTTAGAGTTTTTATGTTATTCCAGATTTCATCTATTCACGCTCTCTGCAACAGTGAGCTTCAGGTTTCAATCACAATATCAAAAAATTATGCCTTTTATCATCCATGCATCAACCAATACTTAGGACAAGAATAACTATCAATCTGATTATGATTGTTGAACCATTAAACTTGAAATTTACTTCTAAGAATCAGCAAATGAGGGTGGATGAAAAATGAGAGAAAAGTTAGACAAAGATTGACCAAATATTCAAGATAATCTTTTCGTGCAAAAAGATGTCTTCCTTCTCAATGTTAAATAGGCCAAATTCTTCTGAGCTCGACACCTCATACAAAAAAGGCCATACAAGGAAAGAAAACATATATGCCTTGATCAGGTCCCCCACCATTATCTTCTCTGCTTTCATCATAGTTCTTATCAACTCCAACACCTAATATATATTTATATTTTGCTACACAGTATTCAAATTTGTGTCGACTATTTCCTCTAATTCAGCAGCGGCCATCGTGGTATGAACCAGGACAGAGCATGTTCCCGAAGAACAAGGGAGCCTAACTCGGGGTGGGCAAAATGATTGAACCTAAGACTTCTAGGTTATCAAAGATCAAATTTAACTACTGAACCACGCCTAAGGTTTGAACACCTAGTAAATGATAGAGTTAATGTATATATATAACAGATAGTGTGTGTATCAGTGTATATATATCCATCTACACTATTAATAAGGGAGATGACGAGGTTTGATATTTACTCCTAAAAGTGTGCATAAAACCCTTTCTTTATCCCTAAACAACTATCTATAACTCATTCTTTAACAGTTAACTCTACCAAATCGTCTCTGCTCATGAAATATCAATATTGTCATTTTTTTTCTTCTCAAATAACCACTAAACTCCACTTTTAACCTCATTGAACTGTCTATTTCTTACTTCAGACAGTAATCGCAAGTACATTGATTCTGATATATATAGATGTTTGTGTTTGTACCAGGGATCAATAAGTCATGGATCAAAATAAAACCATAGCTTTGGACACTTGAGCTATCTCTTGGGTGTGAAATTGACAACATGGTGAAGAATGGATGAAGATACAATAATAACCCGTATCGAAAGATACTTTATAATATCAAAAACTGAATATTAATCGTGTAATATTTATGACAAATCATGTTCACTCCAAAGCTGCTTCACTTTTGCAGGCTTTTCGTCAGCAAATCGAATCTTGGCCATGCTAATGTTTATCAAAACTCAAAGTATGTATGAATACTGATATCAGTCTCTTTTGTGATGGCCTCCAAAAGCCAGTGACAAGAGGCAGGGAAAACCAGCACATAATGGCAGTGATGTGGTGCCAAGGGCCCGTTTGTAGCGTCTTAATTAATCTTTTTCAGCTTGAGTGCGTTGAGGATTGTATTGGTTGTGCTTAGCCAAGCACGAGCTCTAACCGAGTTTGATTGTCGGGTTTAAATTATTGCTCAAGTTCAAGTTTAACACAGACAAAAGCTTGTGAATTTTCAAGCTTAATTTGAGTTTGATTTATCAACAAATATTTTCCAAACACGAATCTTAGAACTTAATAACTAATATTAAGTAATCAATTTATTAACAATAATCCCTCAAAATTTATAGAATCGTGAAATTGAACCCTGGGGTTATTTTCTAAGTTTGTTCCAAAGTCTAGTAGAGAAAAGAGGAAGAGAGAAATGTATATGGCACAAAGTTATTTGAGACAAAACATGGATCGAGTCGTAAATTAATTAAATTCATTTCATTTTGCATCATTTAACAACCCTAAGTTTATTATCCTACGTCTGTAGCTTTTACTAAACATATGCTGCAGTCGGCTCATAGATGCCAAATTTTTACTAAAGCATGCATAGATGTGAAAGCGCAAAGGGAATAACGAAAAGTTTGATGTTTATGTGCGTGTGTGTGTGAGAGAGAGAGAGAGAGACCCATTAAGAGGCAGGTGCTGGGAAAAGAATGTCGATTTTACGCATAGAAGATAAAGAAGAATGCGAGGGCGGTTCGTGGCATCGCACACGTAAGTGATTGTGGTTGGTGAGGTACAGTACAAGAATGTACAAATTGCATTCTTTTTTTCCATTCTGGAAGAAGAAAAGCTGAGGAACATATTACTTTCTCATCTTTATTGCTTTTGTGGATACACACGAGAGAGAGAGAGAGACAGAGAGAGAGAGAGAGAACACCTCTCCATGCATAACCCAAAAGCACCAAAAATTTTTTCCTAAAACGTGAATCATTTCGATTATGGAACAATTTGCAAGTAGAGAGAACAATATACCCATAACCAACATTTCCGTGCTTTGCTTTAGAATTAAATCTTGCTAAGATTTGATTGCAAATATACGTAAATTGGTTGTCATATTATGGTCGGTCCTTTAATTTGGATAGTTGCTTAATGGGTTTGATGAAATCATTCCCGACACTAAGTATTTCAAATAGTAACAGAGACGAATTATAAATTTAAAAGTTTTGAAGTCAAATTTTATCAACTTTTTAGGATTAAATTAAGAGAAATTTATTCTTCGTGAATATTCTAATTTCAATGTGAATGATCTGTTTTTTATCAAATCAAAGGGAGAATTAATCAACGTACTTATAAATTGGTCCAAACATCCCTGCATGCATATCTACATATAGAATTTCAGGCATTAGTTGTAAGGGTGTGCGACATAGTTTGCTTAAGAAAATTAGGATTAGGTTGAAAATCTGCATCAAAAATCGCAACAAACTCATAACTCTTAAAATAATCACAGCTCATGGCAGACTAGAGATACCTAGCTTTGTAACCAGTTCTAACCAAGCTCGCATCTTGATCGACGTAAATTCTTCCTCTCTAGAGTCTCGACCGGTCTTGACTGAAAAGCTTTCAAACCCCTAAAAATAGAATACAATCTGTTAAATACAACATAAAATTACAGAGTTTGAATCTTTCTTAAATCTCTCGTTTTATAAACGAGTGAACCCGACATGATATAATAAATGAATCGGGTAAAGTGAGTCAATCAAAATAAATGCACAATACGACTCGTTTATATACTGGGTATACAAGACGTGAAACTAATATGACACGATTCATTAAACATAAATTATTAAATGAATCGAGTATGGATGAAATATTTTTTTTACATGAACCGGTTAAGATTCGGCGCAAACATATCTCGCCTAACATGAATTTTTTTTTTTGGTCATTATTGTAAAATTTACGAGGGAGGATAACGTAGTTTGAACCCACGATTTATCGGTATATGGACAGGCCGCGGAGTCCGCAAAACACGATTGATAGACTTAATTAGTCGTAAACAAAAGGTCAACATCAAGCTGATCCAGACAGCACGAAAATTGTGGCCTATGGCTTGTTTATCAGGGATGTCCTAATGGAGTTTTAGCGGGCTATCCTTTAGGCCACCCTATTGGACCATATTGGGCTCTACTTTTTATTTTGTTTGACGGGTCAATCGGTTGGGCCTTTGAGCCGAATCACCATTAGAATTTGCATGGCCTAGTGCGTGCTGTGTTGGATCGGCCCCAAAGACTGGTAGACTTCTGGGCTAGGGTGTGGGCCATGGCTCAAATACCAAGGCTCATCATGAAATAGTAAGATTATAAAGTTTCCATCATGTAGTAGACTGGAAATAAGGTCTAATTTAAAGGAATCCATTAATATTTCTTTCAAAACGTGATATGAATTGACATTTCAGAAATTATGAGGGATGTATGTAAAATTAAGTCATTTTTTAAGGATGTCAGTGAAATTTACTCTTTGGGTGAGTTCTACACCAAGCCACCGACATAAGTGGACAAACTTTGAAATGTCAAAAAATTGACATTTCAATGAATTGAAAATAATATTTTGGCATTGTGTTGATATTTATCATATTTGTGAGTTTTTTTTATTAATATTATGAGCATTTTAATCACTATTCTGGTACTAAAAAAGCAATAAAAATAATTACTATAATAATAGTAAAAAACACTTACAACAGTAGTAAAAATATCCATAAATGATAATTTTTTTGTACAAAAAAAAAAGTGGTAAAAATAATTACCACAAAAGTAATAAAAACACTCATAAAAGTGATAAACCATTCACAAAAATGATATATATATTTTTTTTTTTGTAAAATAACCCACAAAAGTTATAAAAATATCCATTAAAATAATAAATTTTTTTGGGTACCATAATAAGTCCTACTTTGAATTATATTCTTTTTAGTGCTGTTCCATCATGTGTGAGTCCATAACCTTTCCATGCTCTCCAAGTGGTTCCAAAATTTTAATAAACTATGAGACGTATGATTGAGATTAGCGATTAGCTTAATAATTATTTGTCAACATAATCATTATCAACTGTTAGATTGACAATAGACCCTACAATTAGATAGTGTCCACTATCATTTCAATGGATATGATACATTATATCAATAAATAAAATTATTAAATTAAGTACAAATAACACACTTTTCTATTCTATTGCTATTACAAAACGAATCCCGAGTTAGTGAGGTTAAATCCTAGCATATGATACCGAGTACAATGCCTTGGGTGGCGCAACTTGGAGAAAGAATGTCAGCCTTACAGATCTATTGAGATAAAAAGCATGATGCAATGGCGTTTCCTAGCATCACAAAGAACAATATTAGGGTTTGGGAGGTACAAGAATCTACAAATTGCTCTTTTGAATTAAGCTAAGAACAATTGGATTATCACCTAGGAAGTATGGATATAGATATAAATACGTGATATGAGTATAGAATACGTCTATAATAAAATATATTTTATATTTTATTATCATTTAACAACGTAAAAATTATAATTTTCAATCATTGTAGTAAGCAAAATTAAAAAATTTTATTTTAAAAAAGATGTAATATCGTCTCATTATTATGATATGTCCATAAAATAAGCGTGACCAATTAAAGAAATCAAACTAGTTGGTTTGTTTACAAGTATTTATTATTATGATTATAGAATAACTAACTCTTTTTTTTATATATATTTTTTTGACATGTAATAGTAGATAATACTTAAAAAATATTCGTGTCTTCAAAATCAGATGAAATTTTAATAATATTTTGTACGATATGTGAACTCAAGAGGGGAGGATATAAGTTAAAATTAAAAATTATACATCTTGCTCCATGTTTAGAGTATCCGCAAAATATTCATATATTTTATTTATTATCAGATGCGTATTCAATATATTTTTTTAACAAGTATCATATTCGATATGAGTTCGCCGACTTCGGAGAAGCATCTGTATTTCGTAAGTTATCACCTATGTCTTGTCATCGTTATGTTGAATATTTACTCTAGAAAGAGAATGAATACCCGATGATGTGATTCATTCTCTTTAGGAGGAAATAGTTTGCAAGTGGATAAAGGTTTTTTTTGGTTGACATTTGGAATTATTCTACCAAAATCTAGTTAAGATTTATCACATTTGATATGATCCTCCTTGTTGGCCAGAATCGGACATATAGAATATAGAAGAAGAATTGATAAGGCCTTGATACAGATCAGATGAGCGGATACCAAAAATGCTACTAGACTGATCGAGAACAACCCATTGTTGTAAACAAGTGTGCATGGGCAAGTCACAAGTGGGTCATTGAAGATTTTCTCAATCTCAACAGTTCTAGTAATGGATTTGTGTTAGATGTTTATCTAGTGATGTCTTCGAACTTTAGAGTAGTCACGTTGTATAAATAATGTCAAAGGTTAAGACTATGACCAATCTATCTCTCTTGGACTCTATTAATGACAGAACTAAAGTGTGTGTTTATCTATTAACAACTCGAAGGGAATGATCCTCATGAGTATAGTAGGAATGAGAGACATAAAATTGTTCCTCATGAATAAATTAGGAATGAGACATGAAACACTGAATACATATATTTCCATCGCCTAAGTTGGTGGTCTATTAGTAAATCGTATCCATTTAGGGTCGTCCCTGACTTGCATGCGATTATCAAGTGGGGTTCAATTCACGTGAGTAATGCCATTTACTGGTAGGCTTTGGTGGTGCTGCGATGACGAACTGCCGTTCCAGATTAATAGTTATGACTCAAATTAGACATTCCACAGTGGAGAAACTCTAATGGTGACGCCTAATGGGTTACTACCTACTAGTTGTCCATCTCTCCTTTTAATTATCAAAAAAGAAAAAAATAAATAAATATATTTCCAATCTGTTCCCCCCTCCCCTCTCCTCTTAGTTCTCTTTTCTTTCTTGCTAAGGAAGAATTGAATTCTGAATCCAAGAGGGTTTCATCTGTCAAACATATGACACGGACCTTTTTAATATATATGACTTTAACAAGGATCACATCAAGAGTGTAAGTGTATCAAGAACCTTTTGTGTTTCAATTCAAATTTAGTAATTGAACGTTGATAGGATTTTGAAAATAAACAAAGAAAAAAAAAAAGATGATTACATCATTTTCAGTCCAAAGCATTAGTCAAATGGAGATATATCTTCAACTGTAATGCACAATATATAAAAAACACGAAATTACATTGGTCGGCTCAAGAGCCTACGATCACATATACGCCCCATGTATGTCAACAATGATGCAACTATTGGTAGATGTCTAAATCTACATGTCTATCATTATCATCTTACGTGTATCTAATATTTGACATTCCCTATGCATCCTCCCTCGAATAATAACACGTAATAAAGGTTGTTTCTATCTACAAAGGGGAAAAAAAAGTATACCGTACCATGTTATGATTTTTTTTTTCATCAATTTTGTATGAGAAAGCTGTCGGCACTGTTTGCCTTATCTATCTACACTTTCAGATTCTGAGCACAACTTGGTAGACAGCATACAGTGAAGCCACACAAGTTCTTATCAAGCCAAGGCTTCCATTCATAGTTTGAGCATCTTTCAAGATATCTCAAGGAACCTTCACCTATTGCATCTCCATTATTTTTCATCTTTTTGGCATTAGAAAATTCATAAGTGCAATGCACCACCTTCACCTTCTTGTATAAATACAAGGTCCTAAGAGCCTTAACATCATCTCAAGCCAAGTCTAGTGCGCTACTAACACATTCACGACCAACATTTGTTCGAACAACAGATTAGTGCACTAATTTCCTGTCACCGTCCAATTTCTAAATCCCGTCTTGCATTTGCTCTAGTTTTCACTACAAACACACTACGATCAACCCCAAGTGTAGTTAGCAACTGCATTTGATATTACTATGGATCGCATAGCAAAATTGGCATCCCAAAAGGCAGTGGTGATTTTCAGCAAGAGTTCATGCTGCATGTGTCATGCAATCAAAAGACTGTTTTACGAGCAAGGAGTGAGCCCTATGATTCACGAGCTCGACGAGGACTCGAGGGGAAGGGAAATGGAGTATTCTCTCATTAGACTAGGTTGCAACCCCTCTGTGCCCGCGGTTTTCATTGGGGGTAAATTTGTGGGCTCTGCTGAGACTGTAATGACACTCCATCTCGATGGCTCCCTAAAAAAGATGCTCATAGACGCTCGAGCTATATGGCTTTAGAGTTGACTAGAATAGTCCTAATGCAATCAATTGTTACCAAAACAATTGATTTCCCCTCGACTTTTTCTTCTTCTTCTTCTTCTTTTTCTTGTGGCCCTTGTAATGGCGGCTCCTTAGTGAAGTGTGATGAGATGGGGGGTATAGAGTTTGTCATCTCTATTAGGACTCCAGCCTTTCCTTTTGTTTTGTATTCACCTAAAGGTTTATCATATCCCTCAATGGGAGTAATGATCTTATGATCTGTGTTGTCTCTTTATTATTATACTCCTCGAAACTCATATTCTGTCATGTTAATCTCCACTGCTAATTCTTCAATTTTGATTTTAAAACGAAAGAATTCGAAAAAATTACAGCCATCGCAAGTTAATGACTGCAGCAAATTGGGAATACATGCATGTTGATAATAAGAAAGAATATAACAGCAAAAACAGGTTTAACGTATTCGAACTCACCCTAATTGGAATAAGTAATTTAGTTAAAATTAAATTGAGTTAAGTATATATGTAAGGTTATGAACCACCACCGATGTGATATCCGATCTGTAAAGTTATGAACCACCACCGGTGTGATATCCGACCGTCGTTGACTGTTAGTTGCTTTATAATTATCCTCGAAAATTAGCATGTAGTAGTAATAGTATAGTTATTCGAATATTTTGTGTATCCCAAATTATTGTTCCACATGAAGTGGAATAAAGTTTGAAGCTCTCCAGCCTTTATTATGATGTCATTTAAAGCAATAATATATTGCTTCCAATGTACCAAAAAAAAAGGGAATATATTGCAATGTCATTTCAGTTAGTGGATATATTCTTGAATGATTAAAACTGGAATTGCTTTGAATTGTATTCTTGTTCTTGGGGGCCATATCTATGGTGGGTGGTTTCAGATTTTAGATAGCATTCTCTCTCTCTTTCTCTCAAGAATATTGGGATTTATATAATGCTTACATCACCTTTTGCTTTTTGACTCCAAAAAAACTGACTCTTTGCGAAGAAAATGATGATAAGAGAGAAAGTAAAGATAGTAATAATACAAAAATATAACACAAAATTTGCGTAGTACGGCACGTTATGCTTACGTTGACGACGGACCAAATCCCAACAAGCTACAAAGATGTACTATTATTTATGGTACTAGATCATTACATGAAATTCTCATCGTATCCATTTCATCCTTCATCTACAAGTTTAGGTCAACCCAACGAAAAATTCGATGGAAAATGATGTGTGTGCATCATCTGATTCTTCTACAAAACTCAAGCGATTAATTTGAGCGCAGGTAAATAGTTCATTTAGAATACGCGTTTTCGATATTTTGACACTAACACAGTTCATTTAGAATAACTTACTGAAGTTTCCAATTGGAATTATTTTGAGAAAACTCAGAGAATTATCTGCCCAAAGTTCTCTCCTTGCATGATGTTTCACAATCTTTCTTTCTTGATAATAAATGTAAAGAGGAATGTGGAAAACCTGGAAGAATGTGGCCACTATTTTAGAATATTCTAGATTTGGACAATCCTATTATCCATTAAGAAAGCAGCACACATATATAAATAGGCCTGTCGAATGATCGATTCTGATCCGACTTTGATCCGAATTTAAATTTGATTAGTTGGATATGAATTAATTTTTTTTATCAACAATTTGAATCTGATATCTCATATTTCATGGATTTGAATTTAAATATATTTATATCTGATCCGATCCGATCCGAATTATTTATATATTTATATGTAAATATTAATGAAATTTAGTTGAAATTAAGGTATAATTTGTTAAAATTTAGTTAATTGATGGATCAAATCAGATCGGATTTCAAATTGTCAACAGATTCGAAAATGGATCACAAAAATAAAATTCGGCGAATTTTTGAATCGGATTCAAATCAAACTTTTGAAATTAAATTCAAATTCGAATCAGTCAAAATTTGATTTAAACTTAATCCGTTGATCGAAGTATATATAAATGAACAATATCGGACATGCTCAAGTGGTTGGGCCCTCCAATTCATATGTGACCTAAGCCACCCTTTGCATTACTTTGGTCCTGCAGCTATTTGTTTGAAAAAGCAATGCAAATAATGGATTAGTTGGTAATTTCTTTCTTCCAAGTCATTAATTAGTTCAGGAAAAAAAAGAAGAGAGAGAATATAAATTAGGAATCATCCTAATGAATAGGTCTTTACACTCATGACTGAAATACAAACCTTAATGAATATACAAACACAATCACTCGTAAATCACGTATATTAGAAGAACCCAAGTTTTATATTTACCAAATAAATACAAATTCAGAACCTTCGAGTTACAACTCGCCTCTTATTTGATCACTGACCAAATCAGTACCTGTTCTGGGTTGGTACTTCTGAGTTTTTGAGTCAATTACCAGTTTGTAGTTCTATAAATGGACTCCTGCCTCCTTTTTCTGCTGGTAATGAACTCTTGCCAATGACCCATGTCTAAGCCTATTGTTGGCTCTGGTCTCATAAGCTGCCCAATCAAACATGAGTTTTAGCCTATTATTTGAGTGATCACACAGTAATAGATCTAGCAAATGATGAATAAAAAGGGTTTGAACTCAGCTTCTGTACAAGAAATTATTGAATGGTGGCATCAGATAGGGAAGACAGTGAACACTTGGTAAAGCTTACGTTGTTGGGGTCTTGGTGCAATGGTCACATTCAATCATTTGTAGCCTAGCTTTATATATTCGAGAAGTGAAATTAGGGTATTTTGAGACAACTCTTTTTACTTCGGCAGTATTCACCGTTACAAAAAAACATGTTTTGGAGTAATTTTTTTTTTTGGTGGCGGTAGTGTTGCCGTAAATATTATTTAAGACGGTCGTTGCCACCACAAAGGCCTTTTAAGACTCCACTTATTATAGCGAGGCATGTCATCACAACATCTTGCTGTAACAAGTAGAGTCTCAAATCTTTGTGGTGGTAACAACTCATCTCAAATTGTATTTGCGACAACCAAAAAACCTTTTATGACAACACTATCGTTGCCAAAAAAAAAAAAAAATTCTAAAACACATTTTTTTATGACGGTGAACACTACTGCCGCAAAAAACTTTTGTCTCAAAAGACTTTAATTCTTATAGTCGCATATAGATATAATAATGCAGGACATGCATTTTGAAAATTTTGATCATTATTCACAAAAGAATTTCCCATGGAATGAATATTCACAATGAGAAGTTTCCTTATAGAATTAGACACATGTATTTCTAATGCTAAATGAACTCAATTTCATGAGGAGTATGTGCTTCATGTCCAAGTCATCACAACTCTCAACCCTAATTAATTGCTGCATCATGCTAGGAAACAAAAGGCATGTGATTTTTTCTCTGGCAGTTTGAAAAAAATGGCTCAAATGCACCATCTAGTCCTTATCAGAAGTGAAGAAGCACTCATGATTGATTTGCTTGGTATCTCTTTAGCTTATCCACTTCAAGCTAGCCTTCAAAAGAACAGCAGGTAGGTAGGAATGGGAGACTACATGTTGGCTCCCATTGATTGATGGAAAAGATCACAAAAAAGGTAGTTAACCACCTGTTAAGTATTCATTGTACAGATGGTGATGACTCTTCTTTTTCTTTTTTATGTTTTGGACTATTGAGAGATGGGATTTAAAACGACGACAAGTGTTTATTCACTCAAGACGTATGTCATGAGTTTGAGTTTGAAAATCAGTTTTTTTTTTCCCTTAAAGCACACAACAAGGAAAACCCAACCCGCTATCTCCATTATGATTTGTTAAAGGATATTACGGATTGAGATACTCTCTATTGCACTTTTACTTTATTTTATTCTATGATAGAATATATATTGTACATTGGTGAGATACCCACTTATATAGAGTGGGATCCACTTGAATTCATGATAAATAATCTTTTATTAGAGAAAGTGTGATAAAGAAAATCGGGACTAGATAACGATTTTAAAGTGAAACATATAAAGGAACACCTAGAAGAACATAACTTGGACAAAAAAGCATGAGGCTTAAAGTTGACTATAATTATTGGCAAGTCCTGCACACACAATTGCTACATTTTATGAATTATTTTCCACAATCCCAACCAGTTCTTGTGGTGGTTTCATGTTACCCTAAGTTGGGATTTTTTTTATAATATTTAAGAACCGACTCAACCACATGTATTTTGGATTTGTATTTGCTATATAAACTCAAAAATTCTTTCAATCACTCGTACACTACTTACATCTATGGTATTCAATGTCGAAAATTCGAGATATTAATTACTGAAATTTTTTTTATCCAAACTCTCTAAATCCCTCTATGTCAAAAATTCGAGATATTAATTACTGAAATTTTTTGATCCAAACTCTCTAAATCCAGGGATTGTGTTCAACTTTGAACACCTCCATTGGATCCCGAGGAGGTGGGTAGGGTATACAACCGAACCACAAAAAGGCTCGTGTTGGTTTCATGCACCCTAAGTTTTGAATTTTTCTCCAATATTTTATGGATCGATTCAACCACGCGTATTTTAGGCACGTGTCAATTATGCCAATTAAAAAAATACTCTCAATCATCCATAAACTTAAAAATTCGAGATATAAACTACAAAAATTCTTTCATCCAAACCCTCATGGTCATAAGGGTTATAAGAATGGAAATTTTGTAGGTTGATGTTCCAACCAAATACAATATGACATATCTCCTAGAACCTTCTGGAAATTTTGAATCATCTGGTCAATAGGTCAACAATTGTCCCACCATTTTCAATTTTGAGTGGAGCCACGTTTGTGGCAAGAATTTGATGGACGGCGGTCCATGGACCGTCCACTACGCCACTTGCCACCGAAATCCTGCATATTTTATGGGAGGAGATGCTTGCAATATTACCTTTCTGTTTTACTCGGTGAAGCAATTCCACGTAAATAAATTTAAATAATATTTTTTTAAAAAAATATAAATTTTATGTGTAATTAAATTAAATAATAAATTAGGTGTCGAATAATTAATCTGTA